CTCCACACGCAGTCGGTTCAGAATGTCTGTGGCATCGAAACCAGCGTTGTCGCACAATTGACGGGGGATCACTTCGAGAGCCTTGGCAAATGCCCGGATGACAGCCTGCTGCTTGGAGGGATCGTTCTGAGCGAAGTCATGCAGGTAATACGACACCGCCATCTCGCAGGCACCACCGCCGGCAACGATGGTCGTGTGTCGGAGAGCACGCTTCACAATCATGATAGCATCGTGCAGACTCCGTTCGACCTCAGCAATGAATTGCTCGGCTCCTCCACGCAGCACGAGCGTGCAGGTCTTGGCACCAGGGCACTCGGAAAAGAGGTTGTAACGTTCACCACCAATCTGGCGTTCTTCGAAAGAGCCACATGTACCCAGRTGACGGTCCTGGATATCGCTGCATGTGGACTGCGTCGCCGCACCGGTCGCCTGGCACACCCGGTCCATATCGTCCGAAGAAACACGACCCGCACAGAAGATGTCGCGATCAGCAAAGTACCTGTAGACAGCGTAGAACATTAGTTAGAGTGCCGTCAACAACGTAGAGCTTGCATTTAAAACGTACTGCGTGGCCAAATCACCAATAGGCAGTTTGCTGAGAACAACCTTGGCGCCGGTCTTGTAGATGGCCTCGAGCTTGTTGAAGATGATCTGCCATTCGGCATCGACGATGGCCTGATACTCAGAAACCTGCTCAACTCGGACCTCCGCGTTGTCCTTCTCACTCTTCAACTCGAGCTCCACGTTCAAGCACACGATCTTGGGGTTCTTGAATGACTTGGGCTGCTGCTCGAAACCGGCGTAGGAGAAGGTCTTCTTGAAAGCGACACCGTTGACGAAGAGGGAGTCCTGAAGGCCACCACCGGTAACCTTCTTGACACCAATCAACTTCTCGTTCAGATCGTCCTGGTCAAGCGACAGCACGGCATCCACGACCACTACATCATCAATGTCAGCCCTCGCCCCACCATGTTCCATTCCGCCAGAGCATCAGATAGAGGAAGAGTAACTTACTCTTGGTGAAAAACTCGGAGTTACGCTTGATCAGCTTGCTGTTCATCGCTGTACCGGCAAGCCTCCGCAGAGTCTCGTATTTCTTCTCCTCGCTGCCCGCAGCATCGAGGATATCCACCGCAATCTCCTTCACCTTGTTAACGGCCACAGCGCTCGCTTTCCGTAGACCCTTGATGATGGTCTGTGAACTGACGCCTTGCTCCACAAGGTCCCGGACTTCCTTCAGAATCTCGCCAGCCAAGACCACGACCGATGTTGTTCCGTCGCCAACTTCGGCATCTTGGGATCGCGCAATATCGGTGAGAATGCGAGCGGCGGGGTGGACGATATCCAGAAGCTGTTGCCAGATGCGATCAGTCATTCTCCTTCAAACATGTATAAGTCCGAGATGGACGGCTCAGAAAAAAACGTACTTTCATTACTGTCGCTCCATCGTTGGTGATTGTCTGCTTGCCGTTGCTGTCAACGAGCAACAGGTCTCCTCCGTACGGTCCGAGAGTGCTCTTGATCGTAGATTGCACCGCGAGACAGGCATTGATATTCGAAAGAACCTGGCCCTTTCCTTGAGAGGTGTCCGTGCCTGAAACCAAATGCAGAGTCGTCAGTAAGTTCTAGTTCAGACGGACAAATGACGGGGTTCGATGCGGCTACGGACCCTCCTTCAGCACAATGATGGTGGGTGCTTGGCCTGCGAAGGCCATCTTGCTGGGCAATAAAACGTGTGATCGTCAAAAGAGAGAATGAGAAGGGGACGAAGAAGTCAGTGATGGCTCAAGGAAAAGTAAAGATTAGTAGTCAGTGTCCTGAGCGATCCCAAGATTGACAGCTCCGGAGTGCTCCCGACCAAAATTTCCCAAAGCTCCTCATCGAAACCCCCCGTCGCCAAACTGGGGCGGTGACCAATCAAGACTCGCTCCGCAACCCTACGGACTTTGTTGGTTATTCTACCCCTCGTCAGGATAACATATTACAACGATATCAGTGTGAAAGCGAATAAAGAAAGTATATCATTGTTCACTGAATCTTAGCTTTGCTTTAATCACTGCTGGTATCACAATGTTCCGATTATATTTACAGGTATCTATTTGGTGGTTTGACCACACTGGGTAATAACCTATGCAAGCTTGACCCCCCAAACGCTCCAAACGCTCCAACGCCAATAGAACCCAGAATCAAAAGAATAACCTTAGCTGAAATCCAACTCATCATCCGGCGGCCCGACGTATTCGTACTTCGACAATAAGTCATGATCATGATGAACTTCATGTACCTGCGGAGGCACGAGACCAAGCGCTTCCTGGCGTAACACCACAGCAGCATCTGTATCAGAAGCGTCCTCAACCATCATATGGTAGTCATGCGATGTATGATGCCGTACGGCGTCTTCAAAGCTCGAGTGGGATAAGCCATGATGGCCATGCGTGTATGGGTCAGGCATGCCATCATGGGAGTGGTGGCCTAAGCCGTCATGGGGATGGTGACCCAAGCCATCGTGGGAATGGAATCGTGAAAGTTGCTGGTTTATGTCGATGATTTGTGGGTCGAGAGGCATAGTTGTATAGTCGGTTATGGAATCTACAGATCCTTGAATGACCGGTGGATGTGTTTGAACAAACGGATTGTGGCTTTGGTGAGGATCAAGGGAGTTATTGTCCATCAGCTGTGTGGTTTCCATGGTGCTCGGTGTCGACAAGCTCGTCTCATTCTCGTGGACGCTCAACTTCTCCATGGATACAGCACCGTCATGAATTAGCATACCGTTACTCGGTGGCAGTTTCAGCGTCTCTTTGCACTGGGGACAGTCTCGAATGACTCGACTGACGGTCTCTTTGATCCTGACCCAGTGATATTTCACCGCGATGGCTGCAGTCGTCTTATTGATTCCTGCGTGCTGCTTGAGATGAATAGTTCGAGCAATCTCGTACTGTTGCTGGGGGTCTGATACGACCTCTTTGTCTTTCAGCATCAGCTTATCCGAGTCGCCGTCCTTCCCCTCTATAAGCTTGTAGTGGGTGGCTGCACTTCTCAGCCGACTCTTCTCAGCTCTATCGGCACCTCTAGGGTATTTAGAATGCTTGAGATAATACCGGATCTTGTCGAAGCGATCTTGTGTGAATGAATCATCGCCTTCAGAACTCAGGTCGCGCCCATAGATAATTGCATCGACATATTCACCGGGACTGGAAAGCACCTTGCCAGCATTTGGCACCTTACCGATCCGCTTAAAGCCAAGAGCATCCCAAATCCGACAAGAAGCCACGTTGCTCTCATAAACCAGGTTGAAGACGGCATATGTGTAACCCTGAGTACAGTCAGACTCTTTCGAACCCTATCCCGGCTCTCCTTGCGACAAGTGGGTGGTGCTTTCGCAGTCGAACACGACATCAACAATCTGCTCTGGTAGAGATCACACTGACCAGTTTAGGAGCCCATTCAAGATATCCCTCGCCCATCAATCGACCAACACCACGATTGCGCGCCGCATCTGTCACAAGAAACATGCCATTGCAGACATGACTACTACGTCCGGGGTAATTCGGCCGGATATTGAAGCTGCCCAAGCAGGTCTTGGTCCAATCCGCGCCAGCCCTTTCCATGGCCTTCATCTCGTACACACTCTTAATGTCGCCTAGGAGCATGATGGCGCCAAAGTTGAAAAACCAATACGTCGCAAACTGCTCCAGCGGGATGGGATCAACCATGGCATAGGTGTCACCCTTGGCAATTTCTTTATTCAACTGATCAGACAGATAACGCAACAATGAGGGAGGCACATCATCGGCTGATGAAATAGGCACTAATGTCGCAACGGTGACCCGGTCTCTTAGAGTGACCTGCCGCGGACTGATGTTGGCTGGGATGTCTCTATCGGTTGCTATCACCGCAGCCAGTAAATCTCCATGGATAGCAGGCATGATGGCTTCCTCGGCCGGGCACGGCCGGTCACGAGACTATTTACCATATTAGTCGACTGAGCAACTGTACAGACCACAAATGGTCACGGAACGGATAAATGATCGAGCCTGCAGAGGCAGACTGCTAGGGAATAAGATAGAACGGGCATTGTGATAGAGCAGACTGCCTTCCATGGTAGACAAGCTCGACTGGAGGAGGAGCTGTGGCAATCACATTACCGATTATAGAAGCACTGACTTTCTAATAATAATAGTTCACCCGAGTGTCCAGCAAGGTGAAGCGGCACTTCAAGGACCAGCCGTGTATTCTGGAGTCCGGAATGATGTGAACGCAGCAGAGAAATCGTCGTCCCGCACGATTTTTGCTGAGTCAGCGGGTCATTGTTAATCCGATCTCATCGTCATTTTTCTATGGAGGAGTCTATTTGCAGCCTCAGGCACAAACGCTGCTGTGGTATACTTCTCAGGCTGATAGGCACCCTTCGAAGACATGATTCAGGCTGCATGTAATAAAGAACCTTCTACTTTGACGGGCAAGAATTATCTTAGCTGTGTGACGTGGTCAAGACGCTGTAGCTCAACAACGCCCAATATATATTCCTTGTAACACTCCGTGTGTGACTACAGAGGCTGCCATTCAGTTGATGAATATATCGCCGGCCAGACTTTCAGTATGAATATTGTCCTCGCAGCGATATCTACAGTACACCAAGTCACCAACTGCCAATCCACCCTCTTCAAGTTGAGCAGAAAGAGATGGCTCCAGACAGGTCCTGGCCCAGGCCGCAGAGCTGATGTAGATCTATGGATCCTGCTAAATGTCAAGCCAATCGTGTAGCTTGATGCTCAGAGTTTCCAAACTCAAGCGCTGCTCTAACCTTAGGTATGCATACCTGACTTAAGTACCTTTTATGTGCAGCATCATGATTAGCTCAACCCCCGTTCTATGACGACTGGCTCATGGTATGAGGGGCCATGGGCTCCTGCATCTTCCTTACCCATAGTTTGGGGTTTGGTTGAGTCCTCGATCCATCTTGAAGCATCAGAATATCATACCCGGCAGTATCTAAAATGAGTCCGGTAGAAGCTCCGCAGTTCTATGAAAACACACTGGAGCCGATTGACATAAACCAAACGAATTTACTCAATGCATTGAGGGAACTACGTTCTGCTACCCGCCGCGGGGCTGAACTGGTTGAAAACGGCCGTCCTGCAGAACCCGACGGAAAGGGTGGGCTTTTCATGGGCGTCTCGGGTATATCTTTCGTCTATGCGCGAAGTTGACGGATGTGCGAGCGTATAGATCCACTAATTTCTCTTACGGTATAGGGATCGCTCTCGCTTTTCTCCGGCTTGATCATCAAGTGTTCTCACTAACAGAGGAAGGGGAGACCAGCTCTCCGGATTATCGAAAGTTGGCCACCGAGAGAATCCCACGCCATGGTCCCAAGATTCCTCTTGCGCCAGGGAGATTGTCTCCGCTGAGTTCAGCGCTAGCTGCGACTGTTATGCGTATTCAAGCAGCAACCAAACTAGGCCATGCCGTTTCTGGTACTGATGTCGACAATCTGCGCGACGCGGTCACAATCGCACTTAAACATGGTCATATTGTCCCCCACGCTAATCAGAACATGGGAGGAGACGAAGTCCTCTATGGGCGGGCTGGGTTGCTATGGTCTATTCTGAACATGCGAGTTCTGAATCTGGATGAAAAGAGCGCAGAAGCTTTGAAGCCCATTTTCGAATCTGTTCCGCAACTGATTGAAGTCATCGTTGAGGCTGGACGCCAGGGCCATAGGGACTATGTCCAGGCTTACGGAAATACTGACGCGCTGCCACTGATGTGGACATACAAGGAAGGTCGTTATGGGTTAGGAGCGTGAGTATCATCTTTACCTGTCTGGAGCGCATGTACTGTGCTGACGGTTCCAGGGTCCATGGCATGAGTATGTTTTGCCGAGTACTGATTGACGGAGTAAAGTAGCTAACTTGCAAAGCTGGTATCCTTGCTGTACTCCTGGCGTGCAAAACAGAAGAGCTCAATAACGGCGTCTCACACGACTACTTCCCTTGGATAGCAGATACCGTCCTCGGCCTTTGTAGATTATGCATTGCCAACAACGGCCACCTTCCAACTACTATACCGCTTCATCGGTCGTCCACTCGACGGGCATCACCATTGGTGCAAATCTGTCATGGCAGCCCCGCTATATTACTTCTCTTAGGCTGTGCCAGGAGGAACCGCTACCTCGCTTCAAATTTCTGGCAACCCGAGTGGGACGAGGCTATCTTTCTAGCGAGCGAGAGGGTCTGGGAGGAAGGGCTGCTTTCGAAAGGCGGGAGTCTCTGCCATGGCATTACGGGCAATGCGTGGCCGTTGCTACTTTTGCACGACAGCTGCGAGTATGACGTGGAATTGCTGGAGATCGCGAGGCGGAATTACGGGGAACGGGCAAAGACAACTACTGTCGAACAACTACAGCCAGCGCTCACAGGAGACTACTTCCTGTCCAGGGCTCTTGCGCTGCTGCTCCATGCGCGGGAAACACCCCCTTACAATGCCTCTCCGGAATCATCGACATATGTCTACCGTATGCCGGATCGGCCCTATTCTCTGAGCGAGGGCCTGGCTGGGACGGTTTGCGCATGGGCTGATGCTTGTGTGGCCATTCAAGCACGACTCCGAAAGATGGATCTCGAGAAAGGCAATGCTGCATCGGTTGCCGCCGCCCTGAAGGGTGACGCACTCTTTCAGGAGTTGGAGAATCGGAAGTTGGGGTTCCCAACCGTGGCCTACCACAGACCTGCAGGTTTACTATAGGCTGCTTAACTCTCGGAATCTCGTGGTTCGAAAGAAATAATATTCATTAAGCCTGGATAGTGTATCTCTCTATATATATCATGATCCGTTCCGTGTTATCTCATCACTCATGTAGTTACATCAAAGGTCAGTAAAAAGAAGTCCAACGAATTGCTAAGATGAAACACCCGAAGCCCCAACGCCATGCTAGCATAATCTCAACGGTCAACAGTGGGAAGGAAATAAGTCAATAACGATGATTTAGATGTGACCAATGCCAAATAGTTCAGAATAGAGTAAATCCGGAATGATAGATAGGTGGCTGACCAGGAATCTGAGATTTGAACTCGACTCGTTTTGGCAAGAAGTTGCCCTGTGGAGCCTCGACAGCAACTCTCCATCGGCGCCAGCAGTTATTCGACTGGTGATGGGCGTCACCGCAAAAGGTACATCGTACCGCGTTTGGTCTTCCACGGTGACTCCGTCCTTCCGGCTCTGGCTGACTCTGACTTCGGTTCCTCGTCTTTCGCTCCTGTTCCTTGCGCATTTGCAGTATCACGTATTCATTGATCTCCTCCTGACTAGGCCTCTTCTGATGTCCCTTGATGTTGCCATTTTGAGGCAAATATCTTCCATCGTGGCTCATCTGCTTGACGACGAACGCATTGATCTCATCCTGTGTAAGCGCTCGCGGGTTTGCTGGAACGTTGGATGTCGCCGAGACTGCATTATCCGAAGCGTTTGGTGCTTTCGTGTCTCCCTGTTGGAGGATCTTTTCCTGCTCGATGGCTAAGCTTGCAAGCTCCTGGAACGTTACGTGCTCGGTCGAGTTGGCAGCGGTTATGCGCGGGTCACGCAGCATAGTCATTGCCCATTCCTTCCATTGCGGACGGAATTTGAGCTTGGTCAGAAACAGCGTGTTGATATGAGCATCAGGAATTTGAAAATTGTCGTCGATTTGCATGAGACCCTCTCGTACAGCTTGGATGAGAGCAATGAATTCGGCAACCATGTCGGACTTGGTGGAGTCGAGATCGAGGAACTCGCCGACTTGATGCATCATTCGGATATTCCGTTGCCAGATATCCATGTCGGCCTTCGCGGGAACCGAATAGAAAATGATACTTCTGTGGTTGAATTGGACAAGACAATACGAAAGTATCACTTCTTGATAATCCTCGCTGGTGATGTTTGTGTTGACATGAGAGAGGCGCCAATCAGTGGCGCATGATGTCATGTGTCAGTCTGACTGTATTGTATTTTACAGGATGATGTTTGGTCCATTCCCTTCTAGTTCGTTCCTGTACCTCTGGTAATTCTAAGCGGAATTTCGCTATTCTCCATCCACTTTCATCAATGGAAAGGGCACAAAGTTACGACATGTCTGTGGTAGGCACTCAGTTTCCAATCCCTGGATAAGCCTAAGCTTTGATGGCATGGTGCTGTACGGAGTAGATCCGTGGTAGTTGTGTTCCAGCACTAGCCAAGAGCCGAAGAGGGAGCAGCCTCAGCCTCAGCCTAACTGACGATCGTGAACTGGAGGGGCCCAAAGAAGGGTCGATTGCTCATGTCAGTAGCGCTCGTTAGATCGCAGGTGCTCTTTGCATCCAAATCATCAACTTGTGTTTTGACCTTTCCACATCAGCATAGCCAAGAATCTACATATAACAGGCCCTTCCAAGAGATGCGACCCCACGCTTGACAATCGATTTGAGACAAAGAACGCTGATCGGTTTGGGATCCACGCTGAGCGGAAAATGGACATCGTGCCGCCGTCGTATCAATCTGCAACAGCCAGAGATGCCTGGTCTATAATCGCTCATTACATCCCATCAAGCGACCTATGCTCGGCTGCGCTCGTCTGTCGGAAATGGCACAGCCTTTTCATGCCCTTCCTTTGGGGTGATCCAGCGTCTCATTTTGGAACTGAAAATGATGCGGTCTATGGTGAGACTTGAGGGTCCAGCTCTCTCTCTGCGGTTTTCCGCTGACAGAAGGATATCTGATACCAGTCGCGTTGACACGATTCAGGAGGACCTTGAAATATGCCCGTCTTGAGGTGCGAATGCTCACCCATACGCTTCATATGCCCCCGGCCCTCTCTGAGATCTATGGCGGTCCGCGACCAGAATGGCTGAGGGAGATCCTCGAGTTTCTACCCTGCCTTCAATCTCTGATTGTATCCAAATTACCTTTCTTTGACCATAATTCTATGATGGCGTTGAAGAGACCCGCCAAGCACGAACCGCCTGATCCAGCGGCCTTCAAAACATATAGCGTCCGATTGCTGATGGCGGAGAGAGAACCAAATGCAACGTCACAGGGACTCGCAGAGACGTTGCTGCGATTCCAAGACCTTGTGTACCTGGACCTGTCATATACGACTCCTGCTCGAGATCGTATGGTGCTTTCTTCCCTGTCTCAGCTGGACCGGCTCCAGGTGCTAAAACTCCGAGGTATCGGTTTGAGAGACGGTGAAGCTGAGTTCTTAGCCAACGCCATTGGGACCAGGGTCCGTTTCTTGGATCTGCGCAACAATCTGCTGACCGATATGGCAGTGCGATCTCTGCTGCAAGCTTCATTTGTGCCTAATGGCGTCCCCACGAATGAAGTTGACTGGAGAGGAGGATCATTCATATTTCATGATAGACTACTCAGGCGCGCAGGTTTGGACGCTCAGTTTGTCAAAGCTTTGACACAACCCTTGACAGGCCGTTCCTGGGTTGAGGACCTTTCACACGTAGGAATAACACATCTCTACATCGCGGACAACCAGCTTACAGTCGAAGGCGTTGCGAGTCTCCTGGCTTCATCGAGACTGCACGTCCTCGATGTTGGAACGGTTGATACAGCCGAATCCTTGGAGAGAGCACGACAGCCGACAATTCCATCGCCTATGACCGGGGGACCCGTTAGATTCCCTGGGGCTGAAAAATTGATACCAGTACTTGGGTCTATCGCCAAAGAAAACCTGACATATCTTCGAGCTCACCATGCTCTGTGCTGCACAGCTGAAGCCTCTTTTAAAGCGCCTGACTCAACGCGAGACTTACTGCCTGAGCTTCCAGACGAATCCAGCAGTACCTTTCAATGCGGGGCGGAAATGGATGCTGCGAACGAGATTCATGAACTATCTGCGGAAGCTCATCCTGTTTTTGAGCTCGAAGCCACTGAGATTGCCAGGCTTTCGAGCCCAGCGGGAGATGTAGTTGAGGCGCGCCTCCAGTCAAGCACTCACCGGGACGACCCTGTACCTCAGGTGAGAAGGGGTTCCATCTTTGCTCCTGAGGTAGTTGAACCAAACCAGGAGCGGGACAGTAATGGCAACATGCCAGCCGACCGTAGTGAAACAGTGAACGTTGACACTTTCACGGCTAGCACAGACCCAACTCCAGCCTGCCTTGGACAATCCGGTCTGCATTTGGCGGCACCTGAGCCGGTTTCACGATGTGCGTCTCCAGTTTCACCTGAGGATTTTCGGGCACAGAAAATCCAAGAACTGCTTGCCAAAAGGCCTAAGAATCAAAGCTTACCTCGCCGCGATGGTAGGGGAGGGAGCATTCCATATTTGCATCCTTCCCTCGTCCCTCACCTCGAGACTTTAGTGTTGACTGATGTTCCTTCTCATGTTCCTGAAGACTCCCACATTCTGCCTGCCTTGGTTCGATTTATAACAGCCTGTTCGAACGAGGCCTTGTTAGCTACTCTCCTGGCGGGATCGGACTACTCCCTTCCACCTGGGAGAGCCCGAGCTCACGCTGAGCAGGAACGATCTCGATCGCTCTTCGCTCTGCGTCGCTTGGTACTTGAAATCACTCCCACGACTCACCTGGCAGGTCCAGCCCGGATCAGCCCGTGGAAATCCATCAGTCAGCAAAATGGGACGTTAAGATCCAGTACCGGCGACCGTGATTCTGAGAATCTGTGGTCCGCAGCCACATGCGACTTTAGTTTCTTCGGGGAAGATGAATGTGGTATACCCGAAAATGATCCGGGAAAATACTTTCCTATGGCTATATTCAATGAGAAGGTGACGCTCATACCGGAGGACGAAGATTCCGGACGTTCTGGATCCCCAGAGGCAGATGCATCTTTCGCATCTAATTCGTCTCAGCCTGCTGGAGCTTATCCTCAAAGGAATCGGTCGCAGACTGGCTCGTCGATCTCGGTACCCGGCTCTGTAGCCGACGCTCGATCGAGTTCCATTACGGTTAATAAAGGCGATGGAAGCAACATGCCCGTTGCTGGGACCAAACAGGTCGACCTTGTCGCAGAATTGGCTGCCTTTCGCCGAGCAAAAAGGCTTGAGTACGAAGAAGTTGTCCGAGCCGATCGAAAGAGACGAAGCATGAGCTGGACTGCATCTTCCCATCTTTCTCCCTCAGCGGAACCTACTCGACCAGTGTCTCCGAGTCCGAGTGTAACAACCATGGCAGCGGTCTCTGCACCTCATCTGTCCCTAGCCCAATTCGTCGAAGGACATTGGAAAGGCGAAGTAAAGATTGTCCGCAATGCAACGCCAAAGGGGCGGACTGGAGTCGTGGATATGTATGGGAATTACTTTGAGAAGGGATATTTATATCCTTGAACGATGATATATTTATTGTTTTATTATTGGTAGCTTAGGCTGGCGTTAGACGTCGTGCAGAATTCCTTGCATCTGTGGAAGTGCATAGTCGATCGTGCGTGGCAAATGCATATTTCCTGTCATTTGAGGTCAAGAAACCTTCTACTGTAGGTAGCCAGTGTCCAGTTATGAATGGGTCAAACAGCGACGTTGGTCTTCTGTGGTATACCATAGTCAATTATTTCGTGCCGGAAGAGATGAACTGTTCAGGTAGAAGAGGAGACCGGTCTCCTCGGGATTTATTCCTCATTCCCAGACTTTCTCTAGTTCATGCAAAGTTACCCTATGGGACAACCGAGTGGCTTGGAAATCGTTTTTTAATTTAAATTGCGTCTCCTGCTCACGGCGACAGGGAGCGACCATTATGCCTTGTCATGCCTTTTTTCGAACCCCCGAAGACAGACTGAAACCCATTCATTCCATTTTGAACCGAGTAAGAAAGTTTGTACGAAAAGGAAACGTCACAAAACAGAAGTCATTAAGACCGATCCCATTTGATCATCTCTTTTTCTCTTCCTTACATAGCCTTGGCGGCCTGAGGGGGAGCCAGCTTCTTGCCGTCCTTGTTGTACCTGATACGCGGGGGAGGAGCACGGTTACGACGACCTTCCCGGGAGCGGACACTGTGGTGGAGAATTGTTAGTAAGGCCTGATTCTTTCCTTCATGCTGCAAAACCAAGTAGATTCCAAGCTGTATTCAAAAACGGGACGGTGCGTACCGAACGATCTTGCCGTGGATAGCGCAGGAGACGCAGTACTGCAGCTTCAGGTACATCTTAGGGACGGCATAGTCGGTGAAAACGGAGGCGTCAGAGATATCACCTGTTCAAGGTATCGGGTCAGCGGCGTTGTCCATCAGCTTTCATATTCCACCACGCCCAGCTCATGCGTCCAGTTGTGGCAGCTCCGTCCAGGAGATTCCATCCGTCCAATCCAATTCCGAATCATCTCAACGGCGCACTACGGACGTGGCTTCAATGGTATGGGTTTGGCAAGGGTTCGAACGTACGGATGGCAGCGGACTCAACCATGTTGCGGATGGTGAATCTCTTGATCGCCTTGTCCTTAGGAGTGCAACGAGCGCAGTTGGAGCAGCGCACGGGCTTGACGTGGCCGCGGCCATTCTTGTTGCGACCGCTGTAGAGAAAGAACAATAAATGTCAGTATGGATCGATGCACTCATGAATTTGAAGTCCAAATTTTCCCCTCCTCTTTCAATTCCATCATAAAAACCACCGCATACACAGCCGACATCCTCGACAGGCGGGAAATCAGGGCGCTTCTTCCGGCGGTGATGGATCTTCAAATTTGACAACCGGGTTGAACACAGGAAAAGGGAAATTCGCTCTTACTTGTTCGCCCTCTTCTTGACCATTTTGACGGATTTCTCTGCAAGGTACGGTCAGAGATTTGGAGTTGTAGAGGGAGGGAGGCGGCGTACTTGGCTGTCGGGTTTGGTTGTCGTAAGGCACTGGACGCTCTCAATCGCTAGTCGTGAATGAGGTTGTGCCGGTTTGTGTGGAAGCCCTATGCCCTTAAGCGAGCCTCGGTCACGGGATACTGCTGGTGCCTCAGGTACTAAGGCATTAAAAATTGATGGCCTGACATCCTAATACCAATTAGATCATCACGTGCGGTTCCAGAGTTGTCGAGGGGGGAGCCTGAAATAGACTAGTGGCCCGGTCGTCCCAGCGTTACGGGTCTTACGGTACTCACGTACGGTCCACGGATGTCCCTAATCATTCCTGACGGGGGACTCGAACCACTCTGTGGTGTCAACACGGGCGGCTGCCGTGAATGGGGCGTATTGTTATTACCCATTGTTTATCCTGCCCAACTCTGGCCGTTATTATTAACTCACTAACAGCCAATAGTTGACCCTCGAACTCCCTTTAAGACAACCCCTGTTCATCCGTATCTTTCTCGTTGTACTTAGGTCGTGCTGGTGGTCTGCTGCTCATCCTCAGTGGTACGTTGTATATCTCTGTTGAAAAGTCTCTTTCATCTTCACTTTTTGGATCTGACATTGATTCGAGTAACTCGTGCTCAGATTCGTGATACCTATACATTGACTAGATCTGACAACATTCTCGTTTCTCCCTGGTCATTCATTTCTACCTAGCTCTGTCGGGCCGTGATACCCCCTCACCGAAAATCCGTCCATACCGATCGCTGCCATGTCGGCTGCAGGAGGAACCTATCGGGGCACAACAAGCCAGAAGACCATCGGAAGAGGGAGACTGCCGGACTTTGAGAACAGTCCTACATCCCACATTCCGCGACCTCGACCGGAGACTTCAGCATCAACGCACACACCCTCCAGCGACGTTGGAAGTTCCACCATGAGTGCTGCAAGCAGGCAAAGACAGAACCAATCGAAGCGAGATGAGGTCAGTATGTCCTGGTGGCCTGTTCCTGGCCTCAAATTTCTGGTTGCATGGCCTTGTATTCCCTCCTAGCCCCTTGTTTATTATGGTTTCCTACAGAATCTTAGCGAACAGCGATTGCTGCCATAGGAATGAATTCTAACACGCTGTTATGAAGGCTATTCGACGCAAGATGGAGGCGGACCTCAATAAAAAGAGGCACCAGGCTCCAAGAGCGCATCGCACGCGCAAAGCTCCCCCAGGAACCGTGCTGGCTTTGAAGCCTAGTCAGGCCCTTCAGATTAAACCCAACACTACCGTCGCGGAAGCAGCACAACTGATGGCCGCGAAGAGAGAAGACTGTGTTCTTGTCACAGACGATGATGATCGCATCGCTGGTATTTTCACCGCGAAGGATCTAGCGTTCCGTGTTGTCGGAAACGGTCAAAAGGCTCGCGAAATTACTGTTGCCGAGATCATGACGAAGAACCCCCTGTGTGCGAGAACAGACACCAGCGCGACGGACGCACTGGATCTCATGGTTAGAAAAGGCTTTAGACATCTGCCGGTCATGGATGAGAACCAGGACATCTCCGGTATCCTCGACATTACAAAGTGCTTCTACGACGCGATGGAAAAGCTGGAGCGTGCGTACAGCTCTTCCCGAAAGCTCTACGACGCCTTGGAAGGTGTGCAGACAGAACTAGGCTCCACCCAGCCTCAGCAAATTATCCAATACGTGGAAGCACTGCGCTCAAAAATGTCCGGCCCGACCCTCGAGAGTGTCCTGGACGGCATGCCTCCGACTACAGTATCTGTCCGCACTTCTGTCAGGGATGCCGCGGCTCTGATGAAGGAACATCACACAACTGCTCTGCTCGTGCAGGATCAGGGCTCCATCACCGGTATCTTCACCAGCAAGGATATCGTTTTGCGTGTAATTGCCCCAGGACTGGACCCTGCCACTTGTAGTGTCGTCCGTGTGATGACTCCACATCCCGATTTTGCTCCTGCTGATATGAGCATCCAAGCCGCTCTGCGCAAGATGCATGGTTAGTGGTCTCGCTTCCTCTGAGTCTGCAACAGAACGGCTAACCCGCCCTACTCCAGATGGTCACTATCTGAATTTGCCTGTTATGAACGAGACGGGCGAGATTGTCGGCATGGTGGATGTGCTCAAGCTCACTTATGCCACTCTTGAGCAGGTTAGTCAAGTCCTTTCCGAGAATCGTGACTTTCAACTGACCAGAGATGCAAGATCAACTCCATGCAATCGCATGACGACGAGGGCCCCGCATGGAACAAATTTTGGTTGTCAATGGATCATGAATCCGATTCAATGGTGTCCGGCAGCCAACAAGCGCCGAATCGTTCCCTTCTCAGTCCCGAGTCACCTAGGCCGGGTGTTGACAGTGTGCTCCCTAATGAATCCGCGTCCCACCACGGCGGAGATGAGCTTTCGGAATATCACGACCATCACCATAACCACGACGAGAGCGCTCCGTTCCCCTTCAAATTCAAGGCTCCTAGCGGCCGCGTGCACAGGGTCAATGTTGTCACTTCTGCTGGGGTCGCCGACTTGGTCGCCCAAGTCACAGCCAAGTTAGGCAACGAGCTGGAGGCAGTCGGAGGTGCCGCCACCGTCGAGGAGGGCAAACTCAGCAATACGGGTTACGCCTTGAGCTACTTGGACAATGAGGGTGACACTGTTTCTATCACCACCGATCAGGATCTGGCGGATGCCGTCAGTCTCGCCCGTCGCTCTCACCGTGATAAGGTCGATCTTTTTGTCCATGACCCCGCTCAGCCCCCAATTCCTGCAACGTTGGATCCCCAGCCTGCTCCAGCCAAAGCCGTCGAGGAGAAGAGTTCCGTTGTTGCTGAGGACCGGCTCTCCGAGGAGCCACTTATCCCCAAGGCCCATCAGTCGTACCCAACACGTCCCACCGAGGAGCAGTTCATCGCCGGCGTACCCAATGAGCTTCTACTTCCAGGTGCCATCGTAACCCTGGCAGCAGTTATTGCTGGAGTATTCGTTCTAAGCCGTGCGACAAGTCGATAGACCATGACACAGATTTAAATCGTGGTCGATTCGAAATGAACGGCAGGCACATCATGTATATCTGTCGATCTAACTCTGTCTTTGCTGTGCCATACTTGCATATCCCAAGTGCGACCTCTTCCCTCCTTCATAATTCACATTTTCCATTACCATCTTCAATTTAATCTGTGTGACTGTTCGGATACCGCTAGTGTTTTTAGTGAGGGCATATTAGCAATGCATATAGTTTTCCCTAGAAGCATGAGAATTTGTCTCAAGAATATGTATTTCTGTTCCTGGGCTTCCGTAAGGGCGTTTTAGAAGACACCACATGGCGGTGTCAAAAGTGCATTGATGTCTTGGATGCCTGGATGCCTGGATGCCTGAGACTTCCTGATTGGGCCTAGCGCAGCGCTCCCTCGATGGCTGGAATTATTTTTTGGTTTCTGAGGCTTCAACTGGTCCATCCCACATCGCTCACGACGCCTGCCCTCCTGTTCGCCAGCAGTTCCCTTGTCGAGCTGGAATGCTGAGCTTGCACTTGTGCTGTGCATATTACTGGGTTTGATTATCGTTCTTATCTTGTCTGATCATTAGTCTTTCCCCAACAGACACCGTTCAACGGAGTTGTACCTACAGCTACTGTCCAACCCCCACCAAAGGAAAAAAATAATAACAGCCAGAAAAGGGAATACAGTCCCCGTCCACCAGCCCAGCTTCAGCGCTGGATACACACACTCATCACCGTTCCTAAACGGGATACAGTCAATCTACAGCTGAATTATCGTTTTTGCGTGACGAGCGATCAACATGTCGCTGCTCCCACCCGAGGTTCACTCCGCGCTGTCCCAGCTGCTGCGCGCGTTGACCACTCCCGACAACACGGTCCGTACTCAGGCAGAAGAACAGTTGAATAATGACTGGATCCAGAACCGTCCGGATGTTCTTCTTATGGGCCTGGCCGAGCAGATTCAGGGTGCAGAGGATACAGTAGTAAGTGATACAGGTTTCGTCAGGGGACGTGGGGACCGTGTCTGGTGTAGACAGAAAGACCGACTGGATGCCTTCTGCCCACTGCAGACTTGAATCCTGTGGCCGCGCCTTGCTGAATTCGACTGATTTTGGTTAATCTTCACCCACAGACGCGTACATTCGCTGCCGTACTTTTCAGAAGAATCGCGACCAAGACAAGGAAGGACCCGGTCACAAATGAGGCCAAGGAACTCTTCTCAACACTCTCCGGGGAACAGAGATTGGTCATCCGACAGAAGTTGGTGACATGTTTGACGACCGAATCTGGGACTGATGTCCGGAAAAAGATTGGCGATGCAGTCGCGGAGGTTGCTAGACAATACACCGATAACGGTATGCGCAATTTCATGAGTGATGAAAGGATTCCATAGCTGATAATGGTCTTCTCTAGGCGATCAATGGCCCGAGCTTCTCGGCGTGCTTTTCCAGGCCAGCCAGTCACCCGAGGCAGGTTTACGGGAGGCTGCCTTCCGCATTTTCTCGACCACTCCCAGTATCATCGAGAAGAACCACGAGGATGCCGTTTCAGGCGTGTTCGGCAAGGGTTTCAAGGATGATGTTGTCACTGTATGTTGGGACCCTTCAACATAGCGTTCGCGGGAGTCCCGGTTGACCATTGCGCTTGTAGGTTCGCATTGCTGCTATGGAGGCCTTCGCCTCGTTCTTCCGGTCTATCTCCAAGAAGTCTCAGCCCAAGTTTTTCGGACTCGTGCCCGACATGCTCAACATTTTGCCGCCTCTGAAGGAGTCCTCAGAGAGCGAGGAGCTATCTTCCTCCTTCGTGGCTCTCATTGAGCTTGCGGAGGTTTGCCCAAAGATGTTCAAGGCCATGTTCAACAACCTGGTCAAGTTCAGTATTAGTGTGATTGCCGACAAGGACCTCAGCGACCAGGTTCGCCAGAATGCCTTGGAGTTGATGGCTACGTTTGCCGATTA